ATTTTCTGATTGATTCATTGAAACCTGAGGAGAGTTCAGCCTTTAACCTGGCTTCTGCTCTCCAGAGGTTCCTGCTCCTGCTGATCAGTTCCCTGCTTAGTAGGTAAAGCCTCTAACCAGCATGTGTGCTGAGCGATGAGGTCGTGGCATTTAGCGCTCACTGAGAGAGAATAGGGATGATCCTTTTCTGCAGGGGGGGGGCCTTGATAGCTTTAGGGGTCTATCTCAGTCAGAGCTACGCATGAATTTCCTGGGTCTGACAGAAAAGAGATGCGATAACAAAGTAAAACACATCTGCTGTGGTGGAAAAGATTAAAACAAAGAAAAATTTCTCTTTCAGTCCTGTAAAATAAAGGAGGGATGTTAAAAAACATGCTTACATCTCCCCCAGAGGGGAAAAACACTTCTGGAGGACAGAATAAACCCTGCAGTGCTGATTCAGGCAGACACAATCACCCTTTGCCATCCAGCTAAAGTCAGCCAATCATCTGTTCCTGGAGGTGCGGATGTCAAACAGCAGGGCTGTTGGCACAGACTGACTGTTTGTGATAAGCGGCCACCAGACAGTGCTGTAATGCGAATCCACCCATTTACGGGTTTGTCTTTACCAGTAAAAAAAAAAAAAAAAGTCAAGATCATCTCCATTGGAAGTCAATGGGGCTGCCATTGTGCGGCACCCAGAGTGCAGTCTGTGGGATCAGCTGGTGAAGGTTCATCCAGGTCATAGTCATTTGAAGACATTTGGCTTCCCCTCCAGGAAGCTTTCTCAATTCAAAATGTCTGGATTCGCATAGTTTGAGGCTTTATATAGATCGAACTGGGTACTTATCAGAGCCCCAGTGTACCGCTAGGTCACCACTCCCCCAAACAAGTCATAAATCTGCATCACACTGATAGCATCAAACCTAATAGAACAGGACATACTTCATGGGATACACCATGGACCCCTGGAAGGCTTGGATGATGGTGTGTTTTACAATGCTGTGAGGGGAGGATATTAAAGATGTGTGGAGTTTTGGTTTTATGATACTCGGATTTGTCCTGTTTGGATTTGGAGGATACCTGCTGTATCTACAATTACAGAGGATTTCAGCTGCAATTTGGGTATTGATCAGGTTGCCGGAAGAGGTTGACGCCCTCACAAAGGCTGTGAACGAGCAGGACCAGGAGCTGAGCCGCATGCTGGGTGTGATTGAACACAGGCTGGCTGTGGTGGTTCAACCCAAAGGTGAAATGGGAAAATATCTTGGATGCGCACGCTCGATTCAAGGCAGAAAAGCCAAACACATTTGGGATGTTTAATTTCACCACGAAAGAGCCAGCAAGAAAAGACTGAAGGCTGAAAATTCCTGTGCTGCTGCATTCAAAACAATAAGTGTTACTCTGGATTTGACCTCCCCCCCCTTTATCTAATCTTCCCTGGATGTTATGGCGAAAGGGCCCAGAAGGACTGCTCCCCCCTCCCCTACCCAGGAACATCTCATAGAGGACGATGGCCTGTGGTCAGCGTTCACGGACATATTGAATGCATTCGTGAAGACACACAACTAATGTCTCAAATGTCAGATTGACTCCATGTGACTAAGCCTCTGATGTGAGCCTGTGCTGAGATGTCTCTGTTACATCTGCTTTTCTTGTGCGGAGGTTCTTTTTATATCTCAAACTATATCCTGTCAAGGATAAAATGTGGCTCCACAGAGATAAAGGGGGCGCTATAGAGAACCGTCTGGGACCTGGGCAGCCAGGTAACCGGTGGGAACCTGGCAGCCATAAGAATGCGGCAAAGGCAGCGTTCTGATGGCACGCACGGCCTCAGTAAATCCATTCCCTCTCTCAGCCCCTATCGCCCCCGACCCACCCACCCACTGTATGTGATCTATTGTGATGAATGGTTGAACTGAAACTGAAATCTAGATTGCAATGTAAATTGAAGTTGACAATAAAGTTGATTGATTGATTATAGATGAACATTTTCTATCTGTTGTGGTTCTAGATGTTGCACAGACAGTTAATTTGAGCTTTGCTTTATAGAATGCTATGTATTTTAATAACTTTTCATAATCTTTTTCAGTCAAATGTGGGGAATAGTTTTCTTGTGTGTACCGCACTATGGAGGACCAACTCTGCCATATTTAAAAATAAATACAGAAAGAAATTAATGCTCAATAAATAAATAAGCATACAATTAATTGCCACCAAAAATACAATAAACAAATAAATGTAAGTAGAAATTAAATTAAACAGGGAAACATAAATGTATATAACTCTTTTAATTAGCTTCTTTATTTATTTGCCTTTGTAATATTTACCTTATTTATTTTTTTGTCCTTTATAATCTTCAACTTTATTTTTTAATTACTTATATTTTTAAGTATTTATTTATTTGAATGTTATAATATTTTTGTCTGTTTTATTCTTCCTTTGTATTTTTTTTTACCTTAGTTATTTCTTCACCGCTGTTTATTTCTCTCTGCCCTTTTTACTTTTCTGCCTCATTATGCAAATGAATATGGGGGCGTGTCCTAGCGAGTCATCTTCTGCTCATTGGTTGGCGGCCATCTTCTTAACTCACAGAGCTCAGAGTACTAAGTTAAATGTTCTCTTTTCTGTTGCTGTTGTTCAATAAAAGTAAGTTTTAAGATTATTTGAGACGAGAACATTATACTTTTAAGCATCACCATATGGCCCATTCACAGATTCAAAGCGTAATTTAAAAGAAAAAGTTCTGAACTTGAGAGAACCGCGGAAACCAGCGGAGCTCCGAAGCTAACGGTAGCCCGTCTGCAGCGGCCCTCTCTCGGCATAGCCCTGTGTGAAGCGTGTTGGTTAGCATTTTACTACATCGGTCGAATCTACAGGAGGAGAGTCTGAAGTCAAGACAGAAGTCATTAGAACGGGAGTAGGGACTTTGCCAAATACAACAAAAAATCGCCATCATAGCCAGCGGTCCTTCACAGCCGCTGGCTGTGAAGGACATTCATGTTTCACAGCTGCGGTTCGACCTGGCTGCCGTTAGCTTTGGAGCTCCGCTGGTTGCCGCGGTCCTCTCAATATCAGAACATTTTCTTTTAAATTACGCATTAAATCTGTGAATGGGCCATATGGAGATGCTTAAAAGTATAATGTTCTCACCTCAAATAATCTTAAAAAGTAATTTATTGAACAACAGCAACAGAAAGAGAACATTTAACTTAGTACTCTGAGCTCTGTGAGTTAAGAAGATGGCCGCCAACCAATGAGCAGAAGATGACTCTATAGGACACGCCCCCATATTCATTTGCATAATGAGACAGAAATGTAAAGCTGGCAGACAGAAATAAATAGCGGCGAAGAAATAACTAAGGTAAAAAAAATACAAAGGAAGAATAAAACAGACAAAAATATAACATGCACATAAATAAATACTTTAAAATATAATTAATTAAAAAATAAAGTCGAAGATTATAAAGGACAAAAAAGTAAATAAGGTAAATATTAAAAATGCAAATAAATAAAGAAGCTAATTAAAAGAGTTATATATATTTATGTATCACTGTATAATTTAATTTCTACTTACATTTATTTGTTTATTGTATTTTTGGTGGCAATTAATTGTATGGTTATTTATTTATTGAGCATTTATTTATTTCTGTATTTTTAAATATGGCAGAGTTGGTCCTCCATACGGCACAGAAACAGAAGTGAAAAGAATCTGCTGAGATCTGCTCACCCTGCCTAGTCACAGCCTCTCTATACGCAGCCAGTGAGACATGGAAAAAAATCAGATCAGAGAATAAAAAGTCGGTGTGTTCAAACTGACACCTGATTAATAAAGAGTTCTAACAATGGCTTTTTTCCCCCCTTGATTTTAAATCCAAATTTAAGAAAATATAATTATTGATCTGAGGCACCAAGCAAACGTCCAGCAGGGGGCGGCAACCAGACAAGAAGAAGTGTGCAGATGGTGGCTGAAGATTTGGTTGAATCAATGTTTTCTGTTTTCTCAGAAACATATCTATAACCACATTCTTAAAAATTCATTTTACATAACTACAGAAAAACATTGTGAATAAAACCAGACATTGGGTGGCCACTAGGACCTGTGGTGAAACTGGCATATGCCAGATAACACTTTCACGGCCACTGAGGATAAAGTAAGTATTATTGGTAATAAAATTATTATAAAGGCAATAAGTTCATTATTAATATAAACGGTTCTTCTAAGTGAAACACCCTTTACTTTCTATAGATCTTTATCTAGATACATGTGATGCACTGACAGTAGTAGTGGGAAGTATTGCTTTATTATTACAAAAAGCCCTTTTTTGCTATTATTATGTGATTTATTTTATTTATTTTTTTTTATGAACTTTGCGCCATCAGGATAATTTCTTTAGTTCTCTGCGGTGAATATTTTTCAGACCCCAGGAAGAAGAGCAGCAGCGTTAGACGTAGTTAACGGCTATCAGCTTGCAGTCCTCTGACATTTAGAGCTGAAATAATGTAACTGTGAGGACTGGAGGCGGTCCTTCTGCAGGACCCCGCCTCCTCTCCTCGTTCTGAATCACGCTGGTTCCACAACAGATCACTTCCGCTTCCTTTCTGAGGCGGTTCTCCTACTTCCTGCTGCAGCCATGGGAGTTGCTGGCCGTGGTCTCAATCAGTTTGGGGACCATCTTTCTCCGTGTCGTTGGGCTCCTCTAGAAGAGGGCAGAACTGAATATCAGAAGCCACCTTCCCTGCATTCAGGATTTGCTCGTTCTCCAAATTGTTGCACAAACATTGAAGCAGACTTTCTTCTAACCAGCATGTCTGAGATCGATCTGCCTGCCATTCAGGCTGCTAACAGAGATGCAGCGCGTCATTGCATCCCGCACCATGACACTAACGCTGCTTCCCTCAGTGATAAACCCAAACAGGAAGTCCAGTCTGTGTCTCCGTCCTTTAAGGGACCAAAAACCACAGACTGTTGGAAGTTCCTCTGATATTCCTGCATGCAGACTCTAAGCTTTGTTTCTTACCTGTGCTGATCGTTCTTCATGCACTCCACAGCGTCCGAACTCCGCTGTACGCCGCTCTAACTGTTCTTCCTGTCACACAAACAGGAAGTGTGTCTCACAACACTCAGCAACCACAGAGAGGTGCAAAAAAAGATCTTTCAGAGACTATTGAGGAGCCATTTCCTCAGTGAGTTCAGTCTGATCTGATGTTGATCTCTGCAGGTATGTCCTCCATCCCCTCCAAGTAGAAGAGCAGGAAGTCCAGAGTAACCCTGAATCTGCAGCTTTCAGCAGGAATACCATACATGGTGTGCGCTACGGCCGGAGCTGCAGGCTGTTTACCAACCACTAAAATAAGGAAGAAGAACTTTTTTTCTTTTTTCCTCCCAGATGAGTCTATAAAACCCCAAAACTGTTGAAGGATCCTTAATAATAAATCACATAAAGCAATAAAAGTAGTGAGAGAGCAGTGCTGCTGGTTGAACTCTGAGGTCTACTTATTGGTTCAAACTTCAGATTCATCAGATGATTTAAACCTGATTCATCAGTTAGATGTTAAAAACCCGGGAATCAATCAATCAATCAATCAATCAGTGAACCATACAGCGTTAATAGGACAACCACTAAAAAACCTGTAAAAAAACTGTAGCCTCTGTGCTCCTTTTAGGGCATATAGAGGCGTTCCACAGCGCTGTGCTCTCTCAGGGATGCTCTATGTGTAATGATCTCAGAATATTGAACCCAGAATTCAAGGCGAGACAGGCAGTGGGAAAGTTCAAAACGTTTATTATAAACTAACAGGTGCGCGGGGCTGCTCGTCTGCTACGGGGCAGATCTCTGCAGGGATGGGAGAATACAGGTCAGTGACTGGATGTGGAGCGGAATACGACTTGGAGCAAAGTCACTGACCTGATTCAAAGTTCAGTCCGTTCGCGGAGAACATAGCAGAATCCAGGCGGGAGGTTTGACCGCAGATGCGGCGGCCAAGCCCCCAGCAGTTCCTAGAGAGCGAGTGGAGCGGGCGCCAGCCGACGCCGAGCAGCAACCAAGTCCAGAAGGGAAATCCAAGGCCAAAGTCAGAAGACAGTTCCAGGTTCAGAAGCCGGTAGAATCCAGGACCAGATGCGACAAACAGAGCAGACAGGGGGAAGGCAGAACTCGAGATCCACAGGACAGAAAACTGGTCAATAGCAGGAAAACAGGCAGACTAAAGAAAGCTAGGAAACATCTCACCAAAACACTCAAATAACCTGCCGCTGATGGGAGGCAAACACACAACTTAAATAGTAGAGGAACCAGGTGAAAATGATCGGCGTTAATCAGCCGCAGAACCAATTAGACAGGGGAGCAAGGAGCAAAGGAAAAAACCAAACCATCAGCACCAAGATCATGACTCTATGCACTCTCCCTGGAATCTCTGCACCAAAAAAATAAATGCTCAAGTGTTCATGGTTTTATTATAACTGGTTTTAACAGAAATATTCTGGTGAAGGTTCTCAGTCATCCAGGTCCACGTCATTCCAAAAACAATTAAAAGCAATCCACTGGATCCCACCCGACCAACCTTTCAGATACATAGACAGGTATGGTAAGGGGTGGACCCGTTCATCCGTTTCTATTTGCATGTTTTCTAAACCAAAACAAGGCTTTGTTGGGCTGCTGGATAAAACCTGGAACTCAACGCTATTTCTGACATTTTGAACTGAAAAAGCTTCCTGGATGGAAGAGAAACGTCTTCAAACTTGGAAACAAAGTTCAGTAGATTGATTTTAACTTTTTGGAACAGAAATATTGTTTTATCAGCCTATGCTGATGATGTTGTTGTCTTTATAAAAGATCAAAAAGATGTCAATATAGTAAATAATGTCAACAATAAGTTCTCCATCCTGGCTTCTTTAAAGTTGAAGAGGGGTTAGAGTGATTACCTGTGCTATCGGTGAGTGGCATGAAAGGCTCCTAGTTCTCCCACACAATCTTTTACGGAAAATAAATGGTTTTAAATTATTGTACAAAACAACTGTGAAGACAAAAAAGAAAATTACGCCACTGTCGGGGCAATAGTGGCGTTGGATGTAGGAGTTTGCCCTGAAATCGAAGGATTGACGGTTCAAGCCCCGACTCGTGTGTCGTTGTGTCCTTGGGCGAAACACCACCTACATTGTCTACTAATGGTGGTCAGAGGGCCCGGTGGCGCCAGTGTACGGCAGCCCCGCTTCTGTCAGTGAACCCCAGGGCAGCTGTGGCTACAATGTAGCTTGCCATCATCAGTGTGTGAGTGTGTGTGAATGGGTGAATGAATGTAGTGTAAAGCACTTTGGTCAAGTCTCCTGACTTGAATAAAGGCGCTATATAAGTACATGACATTTACCATTTACCAACCTGGCAAAGTGGAAATGGGTTTATCATCAAATGTCTGATAGAGGCAGAATGTTGGTCTTCAACAAATTGATTGCATCACAGCTGTAGCACAATCTTTCTGCCTTGGATCTGCTGTCTGACCTGCCCATGAGAATAGAGTCTCAGATGGTGGAGTTCTCCTGGAATGGCTTGCACTGGGGGGGGGGCAGGGCCTTGTCCACCTAGCCTGCCGAACAGCAGCTTTCCTCATGCAGTTCCTGCAGAAATACTTGGCAGGATCTAGAGAAACCATGTGGAGAGACGTGGCCAGTTGTATTCTCAGGCTCATTCTCAGGGAAGCGGCTCTTCCAGCCGTCGTATTTCCGAATTCTCCCGAGTGGTGCACGACTTTATACGTGTCAATTAAGTGAATGTGATTGGTTGATTATCAAGGGGGCGGGATTGTTGTGACAAGTTTGGTTGTGGCCGGTTTGTCGGAAGGATCTTGCTAACCAGTTAGCAACTTAGTGCTAGTAGGTTCCCAATGGGAAATTCCATTGCAACCAAGTAGCACTAAATTGGTGACTTAGAAATGACAATGTCAAGGAACGCTATGGACAGCGGAAACATGCAAGAGGAGGAGAGTTTAGTGTCGGAGGTCGTGGATGAGTCTCCTCCGTCATCCATTTTTTATTTAGAGGAGGAAAGCGGGGATGAAGATGTTGTGGAAGAGGACGCAAGGGCGGCAGAAGCTTGGTTTGGTGTAAAAGGCTTCCAGCTGTTTGAGCCCTTGCCTCGCAACGCTGCCAGTTCTGTGAACTCTGGGACGGAACTCAATAGGAAAGGAAAGGATTCTGATTTCAACCGTTGCCTATATTAGCTGCGACATATGAATCAAGATGCTATGATCGAAAAAATGGGATTGACAGATGACCGAATTTAGGTGTTCAGGCTGACGTATAACTGGTCTGCAGAAGATAACGAAAAGAATGAATATGGAGAATGAATTGACATTCAAATATGACTTCCCTACAACTTTAAAAATGGATTTCTGTATTTCTGTATCAGAAGCGTAGAAGAGCTGTTAGTGAGTGGGACGACAAGTTTGGAGGAAAGGGACCCCAATGGAGGGCTCTTTATAAGCCTCCAATAAGAAAACGGACTGGTGATCTACAATGGACAATTCTTCATGGCGTCGTTGCAATGAACTCGTTTTAACTGAGCTTTTTGCAGCCTATCAGAGAATGTTTTTCACGTTTTTATGGATTATGAACGGCTAACTGGTTTTATTTTAACCTTTTGAGGAATTTGAGGTAGTTTTTACTAATTCAGTTTTTATTAATGGTGTAAATTACTCCAAAGCAACTAAGTTAAATTCACAAATTTTAAATTGTTGAATTGCCAATGCAAAAATAGCAAATCGATGCTGCGTCTCTGTGGAAGTGGAAAATCACGGCCAGGATTGGTCTGCAGTTTCACTTCCACAGAGCCACCAGAAATTTAAATTCTTTTTTACAGCCGTTTGGTTTTAAAGAGACTTTATGCTATTTCTGATCAGGGCAAATTCAACAAGCACGTCATATAAAGATGTATGTGTTTATGACGTGATTATGTTTTTAAAAGTGTTATGTTATTGTATAAATACATTTTTTTGATAAAATTGAAAAGCCCCACTCCCTCTCTCTGAGAAAATGAGGATGTGCAAAAAAGGCAATTTATGAATTGGAGAAGTAATATCTTTTTTGTAGTCTCTCCCTCTCTGGTTTCAATTCAATTCAGTTTATTTTTATAGCACCTATTCATAACACTCAAGGCACTTTACAGTTCAACCAGATCGTCCGGTCAGAGTTTTTCAAAGCTTTCTATCTAACATGAAAGGAAACAAGTTTACATGAAAGGAAATTAAAGTTAAAGGAGCAGACAGAAGTCTCCAGTTTTGTTTTAACCACACCAGATTTACTCATTTAGCTGTTAAAATTGAATTGGTTTATTTCCACAGTCATCCAAGACAAAAAACACACACAAAAATGTACTAAACTCTAGTGTTTGAATAGAATATAATAGAACAGAATAGGAAGGAATAGAACAGAATAGAATAGATCCACAGTTAGTTAAGAAAATTTTATGGTAAAACTTAGCAACCTCTCCCGTTCCCATCTAACCTCATCATCCCCTCTCCACCCTGGACATGTTTACCTTCTTAGCAGCTTTCTATTCATCCAACATGGACACATGTCCACTGGACCTCCCCTTCTAGGCCCAATATCCCATCATAATGGTGTTCAACATTGGCAACCTCTGCCACTTGAGGGAGCTACTGCTGCTGTTGGTGAGACGTATCATCTTAACTTCCTGTTCTCACTACTGAGCAGTGCTGTTGCTGTCCAGTCTATCTCTGTCTGTATTAAGTTATTTTTTCTGCGATATCTCTGTATCTCAGTAACTCTAACTGTCCAGAACCCCTTTAAAACATAGCGCCTTCTGCTGTACTTTTCTACAGAGCACTTGTCAGTTTCACATGGTTTTATGACTTGATTGGTGATAATCACATTGACTTATGTTGCCTTACAGAAACCTGGCTGCAGCAAGAGGATTATGTGAGCATAAATGAGGCAACTCCTTCAAGCTATTTAAATTTTCACATCCCCAGACGTTCTGAGTGAGGAGGAGGAGTAGCAACAATCTTTCAATCTGATTTACTGATTACTCCAAAGGCAGTTAATACTTACAACTCTTTTGAAAATGTAATCCTTAGTTTCCCCTGTCCAAAATTTCAAAGCAAGAAAACCTCTTCTTTTTGTAACGTTGTATCGTCCACCAGGTCCTTACTCTGAAATTTACATGAGTTTTCAGAGTTTCTTTCTGATTTGGTATTAAAAACTGACAGGGTCATCATAGTGGGAGATTTTAACATCCATGCTGACATTGAAGGCGATTGCTTAAGAGCAGCCTTTAATGCTATCTTAGACACTATT